CTTCAGCAAATTAAATCAAATTTGAGTTTGTTATAAATAGCATTATTAATAGAATGTGAAAGAGGAAGACCTTGTTGTTAATATTGAGCACAAGTTAACTTTTGGATAATGTCCGTGGCCCTCTGTTAGGCTTTTCACAGCGCTTTAAATGTTTTGCAAGTGCCTCCTCTCCTATTCTGAATATGCAGCAGCCTGGTGAGCTACTACCCTGTTGATTCAGCTCCCTTAACCAACTCAGAGCTTGGGCTTGTGGTGTGCTTGATTCCGTGTCCTGTCTTCTCCCAGATGGGTCAGAAATTACAGCTCAGCAACAGTCACTGTCCTGTTACGACTGACACAACACCTTTATGGGGCTCCATCACTGTGACAATGAGGCAGAGCTCTAGTGAATGTAGTTTCTGTGTTGCCATAAGAATGACTGGTCTCATAACGAAATGATGTGTTTTTGTTGTGGCCCAGATGATGATTTCCAGCTAATACAGAGGAGTTTTATGGAGAAGCACTACCAGGAATTTGATGACTCAGAAGAAAACAAGCTCATCTATACTTCTATTTTTAACGAATACGTAAGATATTTTTCTTGTTCTTCACGTGTATTGCTTTGTTGTTTTTATTTTTGTTTCGTGTGCCCTCATTTATAAAATTACTGATTTACGTGGAGTGAAGCTAATGTGCTTGATGCATAGTCATGATCTGTGAGCGATGAAGAGATTTTCTCAACCTCTGGGTTCCTCTTATATTTGTTCCACTTGAAAACTTTTACAGATGTTTTGAACCTTGTATAATTCTATTGAAGAGAATTCTAATCTGATTTTGTAGCAAGTAACATACGTGATGACTGCAACAGAGATCATTCTATTACAGCCATATTATTTAGCACTTAGTGAGGTTCTTTGTACAAGGCAGCTTCCTCCTTACCTTGAACATCTTTCACAGTCCTCTTTGCACAATTATGAAGCCATATCAGCCTACCGGTCAATACTATAAAGTGAATTTTAAATCATTTGTAACTGGAGCTGAAGAGATTTGTTTTCATGCCTAGTACTAGGGAAAATGTCCAGCTGCAGCTTGTCAGTGTGATGTGAATATTTGAACTATCATTGCCTAGCTCAGGAGTCTGCAGGGTTATCTAGTGAAGATAATACTATGGAAGATAAGACATCAGTGTAAGGAAATTCCAGTGCCTTGATACCTGCAACATTAAGTTTATTGTGATACTGTGTTTTTTTCTTTTTAGATCTGTTTAGTAGAGAAATACATTGAAGAAAAGCTGCTTGATCGGATTCCGGGTTTTAATATGACTGCGTTCACGATGTCATTGCAGTAAGTTGACATCTTTGGTTTTTAAAGGGGGAGGAATGGGGAGGAATGTGGTGTGCTTTTCTCAATTCATTTGTGTGACTTAAAATAAAATTTAGGTTTCAAGGTCCCTCCTGGAGAAGGAGGTTCCCATTTAATAGTAATAATTTAAAAAATGCTGCTGCCTGAGTTTCTCACCTTCCTCATGTCGTGCTACTCTAAATTTCTGAACTGCTGTGCTGAAATACACTGGGTTGTAATAAACACAAAAATCACAATGGGAACGTTGTTTTATCATCATTATTGTTGTTGTTGTTATTCCTCCTTTTCTTATCACTTTTGAAGCCAGGCCCATGAGTAAAAAGCTGGGTCTCATTAAGCAATTTCTCTCTTTCAGACTCTGTGTTGGATATTAAGTATCCTGGGAATCTTTCAGGAATTGTGAATAAATGCCTTTTAATACAATTTTTGTAAAGCATTTAGAGAAAAGCTTGGTGTGTCCTAGATTTTTACGTTTGGTCATCTTTACCTTAACTGACTTCATGCAGAATTCAGTTTTAAAAGATGATTTTTCTACTTTAATATGAATATCAAGTTTAATTGGGAAACAAATCTCTTAAAATATTTTAATCAATTTTATTCTTTCAAATAAAACACTGGAAAATTACTGTGAAATCATAGTACTGTATTTAGAAGATACACTGTTTAAGGTAAACGTCCTTTCGATAGGAACTAAATAAATAAATGAAAACAAAATTGACTGGCAGGAAAGATTAAATGTGTTGCTGAAATATGCCAGTGTGGCGTGTTGAGGAACATGGAGTTACTTATTCTAAATTTTTTTTTAACCAAAGTCCTATATCATGCTGTGCCCTTTCCCAAGCTCTGAAGCTTGGGTCTTCCCCTGAGCTGTTTCAGTTCTCAAGGCACAGAAGTGAATCTCGAATCTTCTAGCCCCATCTCTAAGAGGGAAAATCCATTTACTTTATACTCTTTAACGTGTAGCTCTTTGGTTGCTCCATTCCCTTTTCCTTAGGTGATGCACAGTTTTATTGTAAACATTGTGTAAGCTGGAGTGTATGTTTTAAGGTTGTAAAGAGCTAGCAAAGCAGTTTAATGGTGTGTGTGTATGTATGTGTGTATCCTGAAATACACGGTTTCCCATTTCAGCATGGTACTCGATGCTTTAGATATCCAGATGGAAGTGTTTACTCAGTAGGAACAATTTATCCATCTTGCATCTTAACTACTAAGCCTGAAAATAGGAAGTTGTTAAATAGCAAGGTTGCCTTTGTTGTCCCAGAGCACTGTGCAGCTTGTCAAAGTGATCGGATGTACGAAGTAGCAAAGCTGGAGGTTCCTTAATAAAGTCTCCTAGATTCAAGGCTGCTGTAGTTGCATGTTGGAAATATCCTTCCCATACAAATGTACATCTGTTCGACTTGAAGCATCCTCCACATTTCTCTCCAGTTTTCTTATTTCAGAGCTAATGTGCCAACATACACAGCAGTTCTCATTCAATTAAATGTTATCACCCTTCCCATCTATCTTGATTTGGGGTCTGGTGTGAGCTGAGAATTTTCGAAGACTGCTGATCTGCTCTGGTAGAGTTAAAAAAAACAGTAGCAACCTGAATTCCCTTTTTATTTTTTTCTCCTCAAAACTTGAAAACCAGACATTTACTTCATCCTTTTGTATTTTTATTACACCACTATAAATTTGTGGTCTATACGTATCTCTTTAACCTTACCAGGAGAGCTCTAGTATATATATTCTAATCCCAGGGATTAGGAGCAAACAAGCCTTTTATTACCACTTTATTTCACCCCTCAGCTGCAGGGTTTTTTTTTTGCCTTATATGTACAGGTATGGAGTATCTACTTGAAATCTGATTGAATAGCTTTATTAATAGCAGTTCTTGAAGCTATCAAAGAACTTGAGGTAATTTTTATTATTTCCATACTTTGGGATAACTAAAAGGCTAGTTGAGTTTTCCTTCTGCGGACTTGCAGGTCACATTCTTTGGTTTTCAAGGATCGATGCAAAACTCTTACATCTTGGGTTTAAAATGACAAAATCACATAAAAACAAGAGTCAGTATAGTATTAATGTACTCAAATTACAGATACTGCAAGGTAATATTCATAATTTTGCTTTATGCTAGGCTTTTAATAACATTATTGTTTTAATCTTGATTTTGTTCAACTTGTCCTCAGGTTTTGACCTCAAACCATTCTAAAATGAGTTTGCTGGCTTCACAGTTTTCTAATGCTCAAACTTCTCTTTGTAGACAGCACAAAGATGAAATGGCAGGTGATATATTTGATATGCTTCTCACGTTTACTGATTTCCTGGCTTTTAAAGAAATGTTCTTGGATTACAGAGCTGTAAGTATATAATATTGTTTTGTTTCCATCACATAATGGTGGCTGTCTTTATACAGCTCTGCATGAGAGTACCAAAGGCTATGTTATTCCTCTTGCCTTCGTCCTGCAGTGGTAATGGTGTTTATTAAAGAGTTATATTAGACGAACAGGTTGAGCTAAATTAGATGAAATTTTTGTCAAACCATCTTTTTAAACTTTATCTGCTTGTATTTTTTCTCTCTGTCCACCTGGAGCAACAAAATAAAAATCGGAGCAGGTTTTTGGATTGGCTTTTTCCTAAGGAAATGAAATAGATATGAAAGTTTAAAAGTCCCTCCCTTTTAAGTCTTGTGACAACAGGAGGCAAGTAGGGGAGGACACAGCTCATATCTTAGCAGCAGGAACAATTTCATTTGGCGTTTGCACCTGTTACCAATTGTATCAGTTTTGATGGGAAAGCCCATAGAAACCAGATTTTGTTAGTTCCTTGGGCACAGGAGGTAAGGGATTGCTGCATGCCCTCTTTGTGCATCTCCTTGTACTTCATGTTTGGGTGGGCCTGTTAGCTGGGCTTTCTTGTCCACGTGTAAGCAGGTGACACTGAAGTGACCTGGATTTGTAGATGGCACAGCATCAGCAGAGATAAAGTATCTCCAAGTTTTTCCACACAATCTCTTTTGGATGTCTGGATTCATCTATTCATCTTCACACTGAACAGGAGAAAACAAATGCTCTGCTAGGGATTTTTTCATGTCTCAGAGCAACTTGTGTGTAGATAGATGCTCAGTGCAATGCGTAGGGTTTTTTTAGTCTGATTTAATAAGTATAATGTCAATTGCCTGTTTTTGATCTTCTGAACTTCTGAGTCTGCTTATTCCAAAATAGTGCTTAAATCAAGGATTTCTTTTATTTTTCGGATTTTTTTTTTCTAGGAAAAAGAAGGTCGGAGTCTGGATTTAAGCAGTGGGTTAGTGGTGACGTCCTTAAACAAATCATCGATATCTTCCTCCTAGAGGGGTTTGTGCACTAGCTTCCCTCTCCACATGAGTGTTCTCACTTCCATTTGGACGTTAAAACACTAAAGGTCATGAGAATCAAGGTGCTTTTACGTGATGAAAACTGACTCCTTTCCCAGACTATGCCTTCAAAGGCCTAATCCTAGAAACCTCTGTTTATGAATTCCAGATGGTATTCGCTGACTACAGAAGAAGAAAAATTCAGCTCTACCAGAGTAACAATTTTTAATAAATACATTCCACCTATACACCAGCCAAAGTGTTATGCCTGCTGAGAAACCCAGCGTGTTCAGAAGGAGGTAAATAGGACTAATGTATTCGTTTAGTTTTTTGTCATTGTAGCCATCTCTAAAGTGCAGTGTCTTTTCAGAATCAAGGAAGGAGTAAAAAGAGCATGTCCATCCTGCTCTGGGAAGGACGGGTACAAACACAAGACCTCTGAGTCTCTCTCTCTCTTGTCCCTTTTGTTTATTTATGTTTTATTTTATGCTTTTCACAGTAATGTGATCTGAAATCGTTCGGCTTTCTGAAGGAAGGCTATGTTTTAACATGGTGATGTTCTAGCATGAGACTGCCACTCAGTTCTTTGGTGATTGATATGTTAGTGTGTAATTCTGTTTGCCTTTTGCCCTTTTTAAGTGCCATCTTTAATGCACAAAGTTCTCCCAATTATTTTTTTTCAGGCTCCAGCTAATAAAAATGGCAAAAATAGCCATAATGAACCTAAATCTTGCCCCTAGTATGCGTTTTCTTACTTCCTTTTCTGCAGTGGTGTATCTGCATCATTTATAGTAACAGAGATGGACAGTAAATCTGGCACGAGCATGTTTACTGCATGCCCATGCAATGCTCTAATTCACACACTAATTAAAATGCAAGTGTTCGTTAAATTAATGATTAAACTGCTGGCAACCTTAGTGCTGCAATGCCTTTTTCAACATCCGTGGAGAAATAGCTAAATTACTTGCTGGTAGAGCTGTAGCCATAAGCTTTTGACTGGCACAAAACCCCAGGTACGGCTCTGTCGACAGTTGGAATTACAGTTCATTTGGAGATGGAATTACAGCATATTTGGAGCTGCAGCGACCCTCGGTTCTTAGGCTCTTCAGACACTTAATTGGCTGCTTAACGACGTGCTCAAGCAACGTGAGGGCGTCCTCAGAAGCGTAAGAGCAGCTTGAAACGTGCTCCAGATCCTGGAGGAAGGCTTGTGCGCAGAACCCTTCTGCCCTGTTCCGCCCAGGGTTTATGCAGCCCTTTGGGGAAGATGCCCTTTGGCAGCGACACAGCCAGTGATCAGCAGCTGTCACCCACCAAGAACCCAGCCCGGAGAGAGCAAAATTACAGCCAGGCTGTTGTGGATTTGTATTTGTGCTGTGGACTCATTTACTGGGGTAAATGAGATGCAATCCTATTTGTGATTACTTCTGTCACTGGTTTCCAAAGCGCTATGATTCTGTGCTGCAACTGGAATAGGGTGGGGTTTTTTCATGCTAGCAAAGACTTCTAGCCATGCAAAAATAAGCAATAAATATGGCAAAATAAGCCATATTTACTACCATATTAGATGAAGTTACAGACTTGTAGTGAGAGGATAATGAGTTGTAGAGACAGACTTACAGTGCTAAGGAAAGCGTAATAACCTGGTATTTTGACCCATCTCTGTACAAAAGTTATGAATGCAGCAGTAATTAACCTCACTAGGTCTCTAGTGTGTTTTGCTGCTACAGGTTTCTGGCTGGAATTGTTTTAGTGTGTTGAAATCTTCCTGATTTGTACACATATACATCATCCTCTTAAGGAAAATATCGACACCTTAGGAAGAGCTAGGTGTTTTTACTTAGAAATCCTTGTGAATGTGTTTTGATCAAAAGCAGTTCTGTATGTCTCACCAGGATTCACAGGCTTTTACACAGGTTTTCACAGATTTTGCAATAAATAGCATTTCCCTGGAGTGCAGGTGGCCACATGCTTGTCAGTTCATGTCCTTAACAAGCAGAAAAAATATTCTGAATTATCTATACCCAGGAGAACAAAATTATGAGAACACTGGGTCACATCTTTAATACAGGCTGACTGCGATAGAAATGAATACCTTGATCTGTTATTTTCAGAAAGAAATTCTTTTGTATTCACCGTCACTCCTAGTTTCAGAGCCTGTGAGGCACAGTTTGGAATGAATCCCCGTTTTGAAGGAGAATAACTTTGAGGTGTTTGCTCTAATACCAAAGTTTTCACTGTTTTACAAATTTGTGGTGCTTCATTTCTTGCTTTTGATATGCCTCTGCTGTGAGCTTTGCTTTCCTACCTCTCCCAGTTCACTATTCAGCTTTGTCAGGTTAATTTATTGCATAAAATAATGTTAAGTAATGTGTTAAAGTAGTTCTATGTTTAGTTGCAAGAAGATGATGTAAATTCATGGGTTTGAACAACCTTCACACAGACACACAGTCAGGTGAGCGACGATGCCTGTTCGTGCAGAAACGCTTTTTGGGGAGGAAATTCCTTTTCCACTGCAATTTTAGGTCAGTCTTTTCACTACTAGAATTTGCAACCGAGCTCCGCTGGCTTGGGGAGCAATTCCCACCGAATCCTTCCTGTTCCTGCACCGCACTCGTGACCGCTTGGCCCCTTGTAGTTGTGCATTTGCTGTGGTCTGAGGTTCAGCACTTCTATAACTAGGTTTTCTGCCTTGATACCTTTTTCCATCTGCTATAGAGGGTCTTTTTTAATAAATTTCTATATATTGTGGAACCTGGGTGTGCAAGTCTGATTTCACTTTCTAGAGCTTTATTTTTGTCACAAAAATACACAGAGGCTTATTTCCTTACTGTTATAGAAATATAGAAATACTAATTTTTATATTTCTTAAAATGTTACTCTTCATTTACCTGACTTTCTTCCAAAGTAAATAAAGCTAAATCTGCCTGGGTCTAATGCAGTTTGTGCATTCCCTTAAAAAGTTAAATGAAGATGAGTTTCCAGACCCTCTCTCTCTAGACAAATTTTCAGAGTTTTTCCAGTGCAGTGTTTGATACAACTTTGGACTCTGTTAACTTTTCTGTGTAGAAAGATCTGTAAATAGGTTAAATGTATTTAATGTATAACCTATGCCTAATAGATGCAACTTGATAAAGCAAATGCTAAAAGGGAAATTGTGGCCATGTGAACTCGGTGGCTTTGAGGGCTTTGAGAGCCTGTGGGGCTACACAAGGGAGCACGTCAAATCCTTTGTCCAACTCTCTGTGTGTGTATTTGTAAAGCAGAGCAATATGGACCCTGTGGACTCGGTACCTTCTCCCCTGAGGCCAGATTGTAATGCCCTTATGCAGGGGGAAGGAGTAGTTTCTTTGGCCAGGGAAATCTCTGCCCACCCCTTGGCTTTGTGACTCACTTTACACACAGTCGGGGCTCTGATAGGATGCAAGATTTTATGGAAAACTTTTTCTGGACAGACTCAACTGTTGAATTTTGGAAGATTTTTATTTAAAACATAAAGTGCTTCCATTCTTTTTTAGAAATCACTACACTAGCAGTTTAGACTTGTTCCACTTAGCCTTTGTCCTCCAGCTCCGCCTCGGTTTGCCTCGAGTTAGTGCCGGTGTTTACACCATAGCTGTTAATGACCAGAGACAGGCGCTGGGGTTTAGTGAATTCTAGTGTTGGTGATAGGTGCTGGATTAAGTCTTCTCAGCCGAGCTCCTTTAGCAAGGCCGGGGTTCCCTGGGGAGTTGGGAGGAGGAGAGGGAGTGTAAAAGACGAGCAGGAGTTCTGGTCTCCAGCCCATCCTCAGTCCGGTGCCAGCCCTGGTCGTGGTGGGTTCGTGCTGCGGACACATCAACGGGGAGCATCATCTGAGACAGCAGAGCAGCTTCCCACCCCTGCTGGCCCACGGGCCGGGGACGAGTGTCACTACAGGCTGATTTCAGTAAGAGCTGGAGTGTGGCGAGAGGGGCCGTCGCCCGCTGCGGAGCCTCGGAGGCAGCTTCTCCTGCCCGATGGCTTGGAGCGGTCCACGTGCGCGACCCCCTTGCTGCTCCTTTAGGCATGGTTAGTCACTTGGCTGGTGGCCGCCATGCTGCCGCCGAGGCCCCTCCACGCCCC